AGAGAGAGAGAGAGAGAGAGAGAGAGAGAGAGAGAGAGAGAGAGAGAGAGAGAGAGAATATTAAAAACAAAAAGTAATGGGATTCCCAGACAGAAATCTGTGTTTAAATGGTATTAAAGCTGTGGTTCAAATCAACAAAAGCCAGGAAATATAATGTTACCCTTTATCCAGACTGTTATCCAGACTGTTATACCGTTTTTTTTCCAATGCGCAGTGTGCCTATGGGCAGCCCTCGCTTTGAGTTTCCTGGCACAGGCAAGTCAAATCCACAAGTCAGTTTGAATTATAAAAATCTGGGCTTGCCATTTAGTGGAACCATGTGCCCCAAGGACACAGCCTTACTCGCCAAAGCTTTTAGACAAAATCACACAGTTAAGGGTGGGAGTCATGAGTTAGGTGCTGGTTTTCTCCTTTGGGTTCCTGGGCTCCTGCCTTTCTCCCATAACAAGTAGGTCACTAACACTGATAAACTTAGTGTAACATGTATGTTGAAGTTAACATTCATCTGTTCTGCCTCTTTCTCTCTTTTCACCAGACACGGCGATGACCTGATTGTCACTCCTTTTGCTCAGGTATGTAGGTATCAGGCTCACCTGAACTTCATCGCTGGTGGGATTTTAAATGCAGTCCTTTGATCCTAACCAATTTTGAAACGTTCTCCTTGCAGGTTCTTGCCAGCTTGCGAAGCGTCAGAAACAACTTCACCCTGCTGACAAACCTTCATGGAGCACCAAACAAGTAAGCCCTGTTGTTTTTCAGGGTTTTAGTTCTCTCCCACAAAAGCACAGAACATTGAAGGACACTAGACACAAACATTACCTAGAAATTTGCCCTACAAACTAAGTCACACCACAAAAAGCATCTGGAAATATACAGTCAAAGGGCCATGATGTTCACTTGTGTTGCAAAGATTATCATAGCCTCAGAGGGTCATAGAATCCATGATCTTGGTAAGGGTTAGGAGAGGGCTGCAAACCTATGCATTCAACCTCTGTTTTAGAGAAAGAAATCTTGAGTGCTCAGGAATCTGGCAACTACCTTGTGAATGTATCATGGGTTAGAGGAGCATTGGATCTGTGGTTGATTCTCTTGTTTTTCAGTCAGTAGTTACCACAGCATTATCTATATTCAGTCTTTGTGAAGCCATCCATCCATCATTTGTTTGGCTTCATCCAGATTCTGATGAAGCAGATGGTGTGAAGCACAGGCGGAGCCTAGTTTGAACAATTATTCTCCTCTCTCTGTCCTGTGGTTTATACTTAAGTAAGTCTTCTTGCAAGAGGAGGTTGCATACTTCTGTGGCATCTCTCCTACCCTGGTCTCTCTACTTTTCTGCAGGCTCCCACCAGAGTGCATTATCTCATACACTATTTGTGTGATCATGCCTATCTCTGGCTTGGACACTGTGGACCACTTTGGGGATGAAGTGTAGATGCTTTTACATTGTATCTAAGATGCCTCAAAACCCAGATTAAGTTAATGTGATGGAACATTGTTTGTAGTATCTTTAGAAAAAAGTAATAGTTGAGCATTCCTATCGAAAAATCCAAAATTCAGATTTTTTTGAACTCTGATACAATGCCAAGAATGAAGAGATCTACATCTGCCCTCAAGTGCTAGATAGCTTGCACATAGTTGCATTATAAGATTATCACCGGGTTGTTTGTGGAACATGCATGCAAAGCAAACAACTTTTCGATTTCAGTCTTGATTCCCTTCCCTAAGATTTCTCACCGTGATTATTAAGATATTCCAGAATCTGAGACATAAACAAAGAGCAAATATGAAACATTCAACACTCAGGGACACCCAGCCAATACGTGGAACCTAGAGATTTGAGTTTGGACCTGTGCTTCCTGTTTATTCACTTATTAATCCATCCCATGAATATTTATTTCATACACACTATTCATTCATGCCTGCATATACCTAACTGCACAAATACTGATCATTCACTTTGTATCAAGCACTGATGATCTCACAGTGGTCTACACAGACAAGGTCTCTGCCCTTTTGTGGCTTATGTTCTAACAGGAAGTACTGGTGATTAATCAGTGAGCAGTCAGATCATATCTCTGGCCACATGGGCTGGAGCAACTGAGACCCAGGAGTTTTCTATTTCTCTCTACACTGATTGTGGGCTCTCTCTACCTGAATTGTCTCTTTATATCTGTCAATGTCTGATTAGTCAAATTCTGACAACTTTTATGTTGATTGTCATCTTTCTCAGTATGCTTTTGTTCCTGCTAAGCCTACCTGAGTGGTCTCAATTTGGCCCAAAAGCATGCTAATGACCTAGCATACTGTCTTCATGGGTTATTGCCCATCACTAGATATGTGTGCATGTGTTTCTGAATGAAGAACTATTGAAGATAGATCATTAATCATTTAGAAAATTTCTTGGAAATTTAGAAATTTCTTTACCCTTGTATGATGTTCTCCATGTAATTGGTTTTTGGGACTCTTCATCTTGGCCACAATAATTACTTCTACTGCTTGGAAATCATATAAACAAGTTAATTGTTAATTATCTTTTCTGGGTCTTGGTTTCCTAAACCATAAGATAAGGTTGTATGAGGATTTAGTGAATTAATATTCTGAAAGCACTCAACGGGCCTATAGCATAGTAGCTTCAAGCTATTAAAACTGATAATTCATCTTACTGAACTTAGAAGGGTTTTCATATCAATTATCTCAGCAATGATCTCCACAAGAAATCTTGTGACAGATATTATTACTTCCGCTTTACAGATAGGAGTCAAGGTTGAGATTAAATGACCCAACTATGGTCAACCACACAGCTTCCAGTGAGCAGCTGTTCTACTTGAGCACAGCATCCCAACTCCAATGGTGTGCTCCTCTTATTCATGACTCCTCCTGGTTGCAGAAAAAGCCCTTGGATGGATTGAATGTTTATGTAGGAGCAACGTATGAATCAGAGAAACTAAAAGCAAGCATTAACTAAGCCAGTCTCTTTAGGAAGGAAATCCCAGGTCAGAATGTTACAGGTAGGACAAGGAAGAAGTGATGAGTAAATTTCAGAAGCTTCTTTAGTATAACCATACTTGAGACCAAACTGATATGTTGCACAGATCCAAGTAGACATGGGGTACACATGATACTTTCAGTGATATTTTTTAGCATGGGTGTTCCTCCTCTATCAGTAGGATTAGAGACAGCCTAACCCTGATAATTAATACATTGAAGCTGCATTCTTAAGAATTGGATCTTCAGATAGCTATATGTTCTGGATTACATGATGCTCTAGGGATCAAGCATCTTAAGATCTTAAATAAATATCATATACAGAATGGACCTAGAGGCATTATCACTCTCAGACTAAGAACCATCTCTCAAACCATAGCCCCTTGTGTCACATTTGTCCAAGACAAGCCATATTTATAAAAGAGCGTATGTCTCCAGCAGTTAGCCCTTGGCTGATCTTCTGCAAATCCATATCTGTATTTTATAGAGTGAGCCTTGCCATTTATTTTTAGACTTTTTGATTATCTTATTTTGAGATAGGGTTTCCCCCTGTAACCCTAGATGATCTGGAACTTACTAAATCACTGTTCGGCTCAGGCTGGCCTTGACCTCGAGGCAATCTTCCTTTCTCTGCTTCTGAAGCACTGGGAATATAGATATGAGCTACTATCTCCAGCTTGATCTCAAGTATCTCTATAATCAGCATCAAAGGACAAAACTTCAGGAAAGGCAAATCCTCTAAAGCTTCTCCAATAGAGTCTGAGCGTATTTCTGTGAGGTTCTGGCTACGACCTGAGTGTTGGGTTTAAGCTACAAATGGACCAGTATGGTAGGGGTAGGTTGGAGAGCTGAGGGTCCACTGATACACTCCACTCTACTGCTGGGGAGTCAGTGCCCACCAACAAATAAGAAAAGAAAGCGAAGATAAGATTTTCTACCAGAGGTGCACATGGCATACAGAGAGCGTTCCTCCTCCCACCCACATGCATTAACTTATGTTAACAATTGGAGCTGTAAGATCCATGGAATTTAGAAGTTGCTTTCTGGGATATTTAACGTGGGTTCCAGGGTACCACTCCCTGTCTTGAATGTAGCATTTAAGCAGTAATTATGTCCTTGGAGTGGTTTTCATGAGACATCTGGCTAGTGTGGTTTATTATGTGAAAAGGAACTCCCACACAGAACTATACTTCGCCTAACTCACGGTTTCTTTTATCTTTTGGCTCTTTGCTCTGTATAAAGCGGCCCATTGTCTGGCTGGGCTTTGCCACCCAAAGGGTAAAAATCTTAAAATTTCTGCCGAGGAGGTTTCCTTTCACCTTAATGAAATGAGGGACTGGGTCTGTATTTCTTGGCTGCAAATAAAAACCTACACTTCCGTTGTCCCAGGAGTTAATTTTGAAAACTGTAGCTTTCATTTGGGGTTGTTAATCAGAGACATTTCCTTGAAGTAGTTGATGACTTCCAAAAGACAGATAGAGCCTGCTCACCACCCAGTATCCGAGATGGCCTCTTCCATCATCCAGAACAATGACTGAAATGTGTGACATATCAGTGTCATACAAGAGAATCACGTCATCTTTGCATTCACAATCCTTCAAAGGTATAATTTGACCAGAATGTACATATTCTTTGAAAATTAATAGCCATCTCCTTTAGTGCATACCTGGAATGCCTTTCAGAGCTTTGTATATTTTGGCATGGGATGTAAATTAGCTGAGAATCATAAAATCCTGAACACTCAGATATGGAAAATACCTAGCCAAATTCCGTCCAAGAAAGTGAAAAAATATATGTGAGCCCCTCACACAGGACCTCACACACTGTAAATCATCAGGAAATGGTAGTTACTGCCTGCTTGCCCCAAGTGAGAAAGAAACTGAGGTTCGGTGAGCTACCAGGGGCTGTATACCAAGAAGGTGCCAGAATCTGGATTGGGGTTAAGATTCCTGGCTTCTGTTGCAGCCCAGTTCTCTTTCCACTACACAATTCAGGCTGAAATCATTAACTACTGTGGCCACAAACTTTCCTTGTTTCTATCAACATCTTAAGCAACCAGGTAAAGACCTTCCTACCATTCTTTTTATAAGTTGGAGACCATAGGAAACCAGGCACCAGATATCATTTCTTTTCCCTTGGGCCCATGAATTTTCTGGCTGCCAATCTCATGTCTTACTGACAATAGTGTGGTTTCCAGAAGCCATCCATTCATTAAAGTGTGCTGAGTCTCCTTTCTGGACCACTTTTCAGGAAGAAGTGATAAACCAAATAAACATGGCCCTTGCCTTTTCTCCCATACAGGAATACTTATCTGAATGAACAACTTTAAGTAAAAACCATACTTTCGCAAATTAACTTCCAAGACAAAAGAATTTACAAGAAAGAATTAGATGATATGAATAGCTACTGAGAAAGTAGGTATTTCTAACATTTAAGAGGTCCTAGTTTGTGATATTCTTTCACAAAAGCCTCCTGGGCAACTCAGAAAGCTGGGTAGGACAAAAGTTCAAAGATGCTATGAACCCATTGGATATGCAATGAGATGTACATCACTCCGATGCCATGCCAAACTGCAGGAGCACAACTAGGAATGAGACTTGGTCTTCCCTTACATTCTTTACTGCTGTGCTGAGGAGACAGATAGGAAGATGGGAGTTGAACTACAGTACAACTGTACAGTCAGTGTAGGGAACTACATAGTACAAGTGAGGGCCACTCATTCCAGCATAAGTGCACATGGTATCAATATAGTCCCAAGTCATACAAAAGAGTCAGCCTCTAAGACATATGTCTACAAAGTCACAGCAATAAGAGAGAGCATGCACAGCAGTCTATGAAACAAGACAGAGCACCAAGGCACCGTGAGGGATTAGAGAGAGGTGGAACAATTTTCAAATAGGAATATGGTGTTCTTTGGAAGAAGACTTGTAACCTTCAAAGGTACATGATGTTTAGCCCCAGCAAAAGAATGGCCTGAGCATCAGCAAGAAAGGAACAAACTGAGTTCAAAGCAAAGGAAGAGGCCCACCTGGGCCTGAGCAAAGTGTACATCAAATTTTCATGCATCTGTTTATCTAGCATGCCACTCAGTGAATGTTGGCATATAAAGGCTTTCTCGGGTAACATCCTAGGACCCAGTAGTCAACAAGTCTTCCCTTGCCTACATAAAGTTTACCTTTAATCTAGGGAGTTATGTATCAAACCCTAATTAGACCGTTCATATTTTAATTACAATTTTGGAGTTCAGCAAGGGAGAAGTCTGAAATGTATGAGAGCACACAGCCAGTCTGTGGTCTGAGATGAACTATCAGGCACAGGGAAAGTCTAGTGATAAACTAGAGATGTATGGTAAGGGCAGAAAGCCAAAAAGGCTTTGCATGCCAGGCTGGGGAGTTTGGAATGGAACCCTTCAATTTTCCTGAAACAAAACAACAACAAAACAAACAAAGCAAAACAAACAAAACCCCAGCTCTTAGGATTAGCACAGGAGTGTTCAATGAATGGTATAGTGAAAGTATAGGATCTAGCACTTTGGATTCAGAAAGACTTGGCTTTGAATATTTCCCTGCCAGTTGGAAACCACCGTGTGTGCTCTAGCATGTTCCTCCTGTCTCCTGATCCCTAGAGTTAAACAATAACATTCCCCATGGAAGAAACTAAGAAATGTCAAGCACGTGTCCAACGGAGAACAGCAATCTTGCCATGAGGATTCCCCTACCCCATCATACATGACAATCAGATGCCAAAGAGAATATTGCTCAGCATCACCCAGTCAGGCCATTGGTGGTAGCTACGGACCCTGTCCATGGACTTGTAACTACATAAAAAGTGCACACAGAGGTTCTCTTATCCCCAGAGGAAGGTGATATCTGGGTGATATCTCTGCCCATCAAGCAGGGGCTTCCTCAGCAATGGCCTTGCATGCTTTTCTCCATCATTTAGAATTTGGCCTCTCCCTCAGACCTGCCTATGCATGAGGATGCAAAGAAGACTTTAAAATACAGATCCCTAGGCCCTGTACCAGACATAGGAAAATGGACTCTTCAGAGATGGGGAAGGTATTTATTAAATACCTCTTCAAATGAGTCTGATGTTTGCTTATGTTAGAGCTTGTTAGAATCAAAGCCTGTGCCCTGGCTGAGTAGCATTCATAACACACCAGTTAAAGACACAATTTTTTTAAATGGTAGATAAAAGACATTTATTCATTGTAGCAGCATTGAGAAAGAAGCAATTCAGTGGCACCCTCATCTCTCACATATACACAAAACTATCCTCAAGCTCCTGACAGAAACGTTAGATTAAATAGAAGGCAAGAGGGACCCATAACTAAAAAGTTCTGCTCAAGCTGTGGTCCTGCCTATTACTGATCCATCTATCTCAGCTCCAGGTCTGACAAGTCCTCAGCATGGTGTGGATCTCTTCTTCTCTTTCCTGTAGGGAAAATCCTAATTTCTTGGAGTCCATTGTCTCAGTAGTCTAAATGTCAAAGGAATGGGCACAAGTGTCTGTCTTTAGGATACCTTCACTTATGTCAAGACACTTAGATTAAGAACTACTGGCCTACATCTCTTTCTTGATCATCAACAACATCTTGTCCCTGTGGGACAGTGAGATAGACTACTGTCAGGGCTTCTGAAAGGGCATCTGAGACCATCAGAGTTGGCAACATCTGAGAGCTTGCTAGAAATGCACGCCTATCTCTACACTGCAAGTCACTACATGGGACCCCATAGGCAATGCTGACTGCAGGTCACTTCTTTGAAACCCTAGAGACAGGGCTGCTTCTGGTCCACTAAATCAGAAGAGCAGAGGCAGGCTGGAGCAAAGTATTCTAATATGTCTGGTAGATTACTCTGATGCACTCTGAAGTTAGAGGTCACTATTGTATACTTTCACAGGGAGGGCCTCCAGCAATGCACTGGAAATCTGGAAGAGTCTGATGGAGAAATTCTGCCAAGCACCAGAAGGATGATGAGACCAGCAAAGGGCTGGAGGGTGACAGGAAACAAGAAATAAAAGCTAGTTAAAAAAGACTATGAGATAGTATATTCCCCTAACCCTAGCATTGAGTGGCAGAGACAGATTCCAGAGACTTGCTGTCCAGTCAGCCTAGCTAAAAAGACAAGTTCCAGCTTCAATGGGAGACCCTGTCTCCACCCATGCCTACACAGACAACCACGTGTGCACACATGTGCACTCATGTGCACACAAAGATATACCATAAACACACACAAATAAGAGGCCTTGCACTCTTAGTGGAATACTCATTGGCTTGTTTGTTTCATTTGCCTTTTGGTGTAAAGATATGATGGAAAATAACACCCTCATTTCTCCATGAAAAGCCAGTGCCTTTAGTTAAGAAACTCAGGCTAGTTGCTGTGTGTGGCATTTGACAAATGATTTGTCCTTTCAAACGTTTCAGTTGCCTGAGGTGCAAATAACATAGGTCCTGAATTGACACATCTCTAGGTGTCCTTCTGTGACTTTCTGTCCTCAAAGAACTGGGAACCATGCTAACTTCTGGACAGAGACCTAAGCAACAGTCTTTTTCTGAGGGGCTCTTCCAGAAAGCCTGAAATGGAGGGGCTGGCAAGGGACCTGAAGTAAACAACTTCCTTCCTGGGGAGTTGTTGCATCCTGATGCTGTGCAGAGGGAAATTCCAGGCCATCTGGATGTGAGAGAATTGCAATCATCTACCCAAGTTCCAGGAGCCTACCTTCTGATGATAGCCTTATGTCACTGGATAGCTCATTAAGCCCTGGAAATCTCCTGAGGAATCAGGGATCATGGAAGGGTGAGGGGGGGTGGGCTTTTCAATGCATACTCAGCCTCTTTTTCTGCTTCTCCACAGGAGGTCACCAGCGGCTAGTCAGGCTCCAGTCTCCAGAGTCAGCCTGCAAGGTAGGCTTCCTCCAGAGATCCATCTCTGCATTCCAAAGCAATTATTCGAGACTGTTATTAGAATAACAGCCTTTATATGCACACTGTAGCCCTCAGAAGCATGTTACTTGACAACTTTTTTTCCACAGTATATTGGACCTTTACCCCAAGAGAAGCCCAACTAAAAATACTTCGAAACAGAGTGCCCACTGTGCACCTAGGGTTTCACAAATAAATGTGTAGTAGTCCTGCTGTTTCCAGAAGTGGAGGCAGACATAGGTCAAGAGTGCAACTTGACCTTAGCTTGCTGACCCTAGTGAACTCCAGGAGTGCTAACCTCAAACATTCCCCCACAGGGTGCCCACATTAGCCCAAGGTCCCCAAGGTACATTAATGGGTTTCCTCTTAGTATCAGCTATAGCTACAAGTTGCTCTGCATCCTAGCCAGGTGTGAAACCAAAAGTTCTTTCTAGGTCACAAAGCATTTCTCTTGGAGGTCATCCAGCTTCATTCCTCTCATCTTTCAATTATGAGCATCTGCTCTTCCTGTGTATCAAAATCCACTGAGAAGAAGGGCAACCTCTGAGGAACACCAGAGAGATATGTCCAAAATGTATTTGTCACATGCAACCACTTAGATGACTTTGTTGAAGTCTATGAGTTCCTCTCCCTTGAACCTATCCCATTCTTATAGCACGGGAGTTCAGCAAGACACCACTAGACACTAAGATACACTGAGCCTGGTCCTCTGATATCTAACCTTAGTAGTCCCCTCCTCCATACTGAGATACTTCCCCCTCAGATGTTGTGTTCTGTTAGTATGACGCCCATAAGTATCTCAGAAGTGTCATAAATTACTAACTTCTGAACAAAGGGAACAAAAGCAGTGCATTCCATTTGCTTGTTGGCTTCTGAAGCACTTACAGAATATGCTTTTAAAACTTTTAGAAGGAAAAAGATGTAGAAAAAAAGTGAAAGAAAGACATGAAGCAAGGTGACTGTACACCAGAGAGCCCTGTGATATGAGGTAGAAAGAAGGAAACAGTGTTCTACCCACAGACTTCAAAACCTCGGCATGCTGATGGGCCACTTCCGTTAGGTATAAAAAGAAACAGAGTAGCATCTTAGTGTGTAGCTGTGCTAGATGCTGAGGAGATCAAAGGAGCTGTTTTGAACTCCCTGTTGTTTCATCTTATTGGCCTGCCCACGAGGCAGCTTTGTTTGGCAATTCTACCAACATGTTTCTGATACAAATTTGAATATTTAGAATATATTTCCTGTTTCTTGTAATAAATATGGATATAACCAGGAAGGTGTAGGGCACTTAGGGTTCTATAAATTAATTCATTAGCAAAAATACTGTTTGAAAGATGTTTTATGAGTATTGGCACATTGACTACAGCTTGGCAACTGGAGCTTTCTTAAGTGTCTTTGGAACAATGAAGCAAAGAAGTAAGGATACCTCTTAAGGCAATTTGTTTTTGTCTGTCTTTGTGGCAAACTACAACAATCCTGGGTTTTCTCTGGGAAGAGACTGTGGTGGTACCAATTATTACGTAATTACTGGTTTCAGAATCTTCTCAACGGTAAACCACAGCCAGAAGAGGAGAGAGGAGACACACATCCCGTGTTTTGTTCTTATTATCAGCTGAAATAAGTCAGCCAGATTTTTCCTGTTATTTTAGTATTTATCAGCATATGACAAAGAGGCATGTTTAAATAGAAACTTTCAAGGGGAATGAAAAATACATGGCTTTGAAAGAACAGCTTGGAGCACCAGAGCACTGCTTTAAAGCATAAGTTTTTAATGAAAATTTATGAAAGAAAATCGGGTGTGTATTTAGAAGTACTGAATTTGAACTCGTACATTTTGATAGAAATAGAAGGTTTAAGAAGTTCAAAGTGCTGGCTGGAGAGCTGGCTCAGCATTTAAGAGCACACTGCTCTTGCAGAGGTTCTGAGTTCAATTCCCAGCAACCACATGGTGGCTCTCAACCATCTGTAACGGGATCTGGTGCCCTCTTCTGGCCTACAGGCATACATGCAGGCAGAATGCTGTATTCATAATAAATAAACCCAAACGTGGGGGGGGGGTGGGAAGTACAAGATGATAGTTTGAAGATATTCAGCAATGGAAGCAAACAGGTGAAGCCAGATGGCAAAAGATGGCTCCCTGCAGCATCTTCCCCTCCTTGTTCTCCTCCACCCCCTTGTTCTCCTCTTCTCCTCCCGTACTTTTCTGTCTCCTACTTTTTCCTCTCTTCATGCTTTTCTCTTCCTCTTCTACTACCTCTTTTTCTTCTGCTTCTTCATTTATATAAATGAAATGTGATTCTTCAATTCCAGTGAATTCTTCCAATCCAAATGAGGTTTCTACACTTACCGTGAGACACTGGGTGACAAAATCTCTTGGTTTTAGCCAGTTTTTCTCTCTGTTGGACCAGATTCTCCACTCTTAGGGCTCAACAGGAAAGTCTTGTCTTTGAACAACACTTACTTTTTTCATTTATCACAATTGTTGTATTTTGGCGAGAATTTAGTTCTGGGATGCACTATAGTTCCCCAATGATGTGTCTGTCCCACTGAAACCTGGACTGTTGAGGGCAGAGAGGACATCTTTCTCATCCTTTGTCTTTATAGTGTGGTAAATTATGTCTACATAGTAGGAATAGAATAAATGCCAAACTGACCAGAACTACATAAAGGTTGGACTTTATTTGAAGGAAACTGCTCATAAAGATAAAATGTAATTTGTGTCTGAAGAAAGTATTTGCTTCTGTGCCTCTGTTCTTCCTTCAGAGTCTTTGTCACTTACTGTACTGAGAGTAGAAGGTGTTGGGCCATATGTATGCCAATGTGTTCTTGCAGTTTTGAATAAGAAAAAAATAAAGCCTAAGAAGGTGACATTTTGCTGAAAAAGTAGGAAAGCCACCATTCAAAAATGGAGGGTTAAACCTACAGAGAGCAATTCTGAAGCCTGATCATGCAGGTTTGGGAGGTCCCAGTGAATCCTCTGGACTGTGCTAAAAATCTGAGGGTAATGAGAAGCTCGACTTGGATACCAGTATCACTTTCTTTTGACTGAGTGAATTCTTGGCCTTTTCTGTATAGGACTGAAACAGAAAGGAAAAGAATAGAATAAAAGAAAATAAAGTCTAAAACAAGGCAGGAACTTGACTTCTTTCACCTAGACATATTCAACATGGAAGACTGAAAACGCAGGATTTCCCAAGGAAAAAAAACACAAATCAATTTCTGTACACATGTGTGGTTATGTGACAACTGCCATGCTTTCCCCATACCCTGTATCCTGTGCTCCTGCATATATCTCATCCATGCTTTGACTATGTCATTACAGGACCTACTGAGAAAATAAATTCCTAAGTAATCACTGCGTTTGCAGACAGATTTTTCCCCTGCACAAAAAGATTAAAAACATATTTTTTTAAGAAACTCTCACCTCTGAGTCACATAAATGACTTGATTTACAGCAATATATATCATATATAGAATTTTGTAGCAGCCAAAATGAAGTGTGAAGTCGGTTTTCTATCATAATATTTCATCTAAATTTTACCAATAACCATTGATACAAATTGTGAGTATCACCACTTATAATCGAGCTGTTTTAAAAGTAACCCAGAAGTTGATGGACCATCCAAAATGGCAGCCAACCATGTCGATGAGGTAACTGAAGAGCCTGCCTGGAGGTCTCCAGGTCAGACTGCCACAGACAAAACATCTATCCTAGCTTGGGTGTCTGTAGCATTAACTGTGGTGATTTTCAACATGAGTCAATTAAAATATATTTCAAGGAAAGAATGAATGTATTTGGAGAAATAAGATGAGGAAGCAGAAGTCTTCCAGTAAAGCGTAAAATGTGCTGACCTATCTGAATAGCAGCCTTAATTAAGGTTTTTCCCAAGCTCTGGGGAGACCATGTCTTCTAACATAGCTTTAGCGCCACTCTGGAAAGGATGACGGTACATCTGATAAACCAAAGAGACCTCCTTTCAGGAAGTCTGTTTCTTCACATGACTCCTCGCTCATCTTCCCTTAGCTTTGACTATTTCTGAGATCTAAGTAGGTGTGCCAGGCGCACATTTTGCTCAAGAAATAGAGCAGGGGCTCAGTCCATGGTCCCTGACTTTGAACAACTCAGAAAGTTAAGGTTTTGTTAGAACTCCCAGGGCTGGGATGTGAGAGCAACTGCTGCATATGGGCAGAGGTCTCTCTGAGGAGCATGGCTACGGCTTGAGAGCTGATCCTCGTCAGATGACTGGAAAGGGAGGCCAGCACAAGCTGAACCTTTGCTTGGTTTCTGCATTAAGCAAGAACTGTCAGGCAGGATTACAACACATGGGCAAACAGAAATAAGATCAACCTTCTTATCAAAGGCCCTGACCACTCAGGACAAAGAAGGCCCCGAAAGAAATTACAAAAAAACCCAAACAAACAAATAAACAAAAAGAAAAACAAAAAAAACAGGGGTAAATAAAAGTACATTTTCTCCAGTGTTCTGTATGATGTGTGTAACCTGAAAAGCTGGGACAATCTGCTCAGTTACACACCATATATAAAGAGTCTCTCTATAAAAAATGAAGTCATAAAATAGAACTACACCAGAAAAGCTCAGAAATTCTCAAGATAGTTTCACAAACGGCTTCAAAGAACCTGTTTTGTCTAACATAGCCATGCCATAAACATTTACCCCAGAACATAGACGCTGAATTGCCTGTATTGTTTTGAAATTATTTCATATACGTCTAAATTTAAGGATGGGCAACTGCAAAATCATCAGTAAGGCGGCTAAAGTGAGAATGGTTAAATGTGTTCCCTCGAGCAAACACAGCTAAAAATAAGGTCTTGCTTATTAGTAGCTGCTTTCCCTTGTTCAGAATTAATTTCTTCATTTAGCAGGAAAAGTTTTTTCCTCATATTAATCAGGACCTGGGGGACCAGGAGCAATTAGCCTCTGAGAATTTGCAGAAAGAGACAAGTCCATTCCTCGCTGACTCCAC